AGAATCTATGGTCACCCCTAGATATTTGACTGAGCTAGAAAGTTGTATAGGTTTCCCAAAGAGTATCAGCTCTCTTGGTTGCCCAAGGTTTCTCTTCCTAGTGAAGCGGACCAAAGCAGTTTTCTCAGGATTCACACTGAGCCTCTGCTCCTGGCACCATTCCTCAACTAGTCCAAGGGCCCTTTGTGCCACGTCAAACACAGTCCCTGGGAAAGGCCCTTCAATAAACAGGACCACGTCGTCTGCGTAGGCCTGTGCGTATACCCCCTGCTGCGTTAGCAGGGTGAGTAGGCTGTCAACCACCAGGCACCAAAGCAGAGGAGAGAGCACCCCTCCCTGCGGGCACCCCCTGGTAGCGACCACTCTAACAGCACAACCATTTCGGTTTGCCGTGATTGTTCTCTGAGTGAGCATAGCTCGGATCCATCGGCTGATGGTCTCCTCAATGCCATGTCTCTCTGCAGCGTTGCACATTGAGTTGAAATTCGCGTTATCGAAAGCCCCCTCGATATCCATGAGAATACCTAGGCCAGTTTGTTTGCGATCTAGCACCTGCTCCACTCTACCAACGAGGTGATGAAGGGCCGTCTCGGTAGACTTCCCAGCCTGGTATGCGTATTGTCGTCGATGTAAGGGTAGATTTTTTATACTACCATCGCGGATGTGCCGGTCTATCAGCCTTTCCAGTGTCTTCAGAAGAAAGGAGGTTAAGCTGATAGGTCGGAAGGATTTTGCTAGGGTATAATCAGTTCGCCCTGGCTTTGGGATGAACACTACTCTCGCGGCCCTCCAGAGTATTGGTACGTACCCGAGAGCCAGGCATGTTCTAAATATTTTCAGCAAAGGTAAAGCTATGTGTTCAAGGCCCTTTTGTAGTAGGGCCGGAAACACGCCGTCTTCTCCAGATGATTTATAGGGTGCAAAGCTGTTAATCGCCCAGCACACCTTGTCATAGGTAACCACCTCTTTAGCCAGTCTGAAATCCTCCTTTCGGGGTCTCCGTACTGGTTCTGAGCTGGCTGGATTCATCCTGCTTCCAGGAAAATGGACCGACAGTAGATGGCGCAGAGCATCTTCGTCCGAGGACGTTAGCTCTCCACTCATGAGCCTCATTGGCCCTAGTCCTATAGTCGGTTCTTTTGAGAGAGCGTGGTGTAGCCTTGCAGCTGTTGGCATGTTTTCAATGCTTTCGCAAAAGGCCCTCCAGCTTTCTCTCTTTTCTCTCTTAATCAGGGCCTTGTACTCCCTTTGAGCCTCCTTGAAGGCTGCCCAGTGTTGGGTTTGTTTTGTACTTTTGGCCCTATTAAAGAGTCGTCTCACATCCCTTCGCTTTTTGCTTACGTGGGGGTTCCACCAGGGAGTGGTTTGATCTTGTCTTCTCGTCTTCAGAGGACAGCTTGTCTCATAAGAAGATGTGAGGGCACGCGTGATGTGGTCAACAGAGCCCTCGACTTCTTCCTCTTTGTTGTGGCATTCTGGAAATCCCATCACACCCGCTCTGAGCTCCTCTTTAAAGAGTTCCCAGTTGGTTGCTTTGGGGTTCCTGTAAGTTTTGTTCTGGTGGACCTAGCTCCATTATTATGTGTCTGTGATCTGAGAGAGATATTTATTCTGAAACAGTCCACTTTGTAATCTTGTTCACTAGTGCCCGAGAGCATAGCGTGATGTCGATCACCTCTTGCCTCCTTGCCGTGAAGTAGGTCGGCACAGAGCCCCGATTCAGGATCTCTAGATCGGTTCCCGAAATATACTGGAGCAACGCTGAGCCCCTTGGATTGACCCCAGTACTCCCCCACACATTATGGTGTGAGTTGGAGTCGCACCCAATGAGCAACGGTAGTTGCTCCCTCTCACAGTACCTCACTAATTCCACTAGCTCAGCAGTTGGTGGCAGTTCAGGAGCGTCGTAGGGGAGGTAGGCGGAGCACACCGCTATCTCCATCTCAGATTCTCCAATAACTATTTTTATCTTCACCGCCACTAGGTCTCTGTAACAGAAGCCCTGTAACAGCGAAGCGTTTACATTTTTTGTCAAGATGCAGGTTCTGGGAGCCTCTACTGTGTTGCACCAGAATAGTGTTCCACCCCAGGACCCCATGCCCCTTATCCTGCTTTCATATACCCAAGGTTCTTGGATGAGTGCTATACTTGTCCCCAGTTCAGCTAGCCTCCGTGAGAGAACTCCTGTGGCCGCTGAACCGTGCTGTAGATTTGCTTGTATGACCTTGGCCATTTTTTTTTTTATTCTGTTGAAGGTCCCTCCACCTCCATGTCGGTAGAGAGCCCTCCTGTCGGGGGTCCCTCCGTCCCTATTGGTAGGGAGTGCCCTTCCTCAGAAGGTCCCTCTGTCATGGATGCGGTGAGCCCTTCTGTCGGTTCCTCCGCGCCGTGCTCGGCAGGCCCTCCTGATGGAGATCCCGCCGCACCTGGCGCGGTGTCCCCTCTATCTGGGGGACCTTCCAAACCAGGGTCAGTGAGCACTCTGCTGGAGGTGCCCTCATCACCTGACCTGACGAGCCCCTCTCCTTCACTCAGAGTGCCGGTTGTAGTGCCCTGTTCATCAACTGAGCCCTTCCCTACCGGCACTCTTTGTGCGTTTTCCGTGGATGTCCCTGGTACCGGGATCTCAACGTCCATGTTCTCCTGAGCCTCCGTGGTGGCTCTGGACGGATCATCTAAAAGGGTGACTGATGCCCTCAGTGCCCTGTAGAACGGCTGAAGGTCCATACTTCTGAAGAGAGCAATGGACTCTTCATCTATCCTCACTGTGAGCCTGAGTCCCCTGTCCCCTTCTGTTCTCGCCAGGACTCTCCACCACAGAGTGGTGAGTCCTGAATTGTATCTTTCCAGAGCCACAAGCGTTTTCGCTGAGCTCCGGATCTCTCTCCCAGGTATCCAGATGTTCGCCCGCCACAGCCTTCGGGAGCGCATCTCAATGGCTGCAAGGCGTACACCTTCCCAGGGAGTGATTTCTCCGATGGATTTCAGGAGCAAATCTAGAGAGTACCTATCTTTGGACTCCACTATGATTCGCTCCCCGATCACTCTCGAGGTGAATCTTGGTGGTGTTGCCCCTGGCGGGAGCCCCTCCACAATTCGTCCCAGAGAGTCACTGAAATCCAGCAGGTCGTCGGCGGAGAACCCTGTAGACTCTCGTCCTATTCTGACGATTGTTCTCCGCAGTTCATCGTCCCCAGCAGCTTGGGCAAAGGTGCCCCTGCCCAATCCCAGGTAGCACATCATATTGGCTGGAACCCGATTTCATATTGGGCCGATATAGATATATTGTACATGTGAAAAATAATATAGGTCCAATATGAGAGTATATTGGACAAACAATATTGGAATGATAATATTGGTGGAGTATTGGTTCAACCTGAGCTTAACAATGTGTTGAGAAACATATCTATGAATGTTATATAATATTGTTTTACGAATGTCGATACAACAACATCGTATACATATTGTTCCCGACATTTACAACCAATATTGCAATTTGAACATTCTCCCCATGTCGATTCTGAAGCGGTTATGCAATATTGTATTTTCAAGTTAAACGGCATATCGGTTGGATATTGTTTTAACAATATTTGAAACATTATATTCACCCATTCTTGATTGATATCATTTTATCTATATCATGCGGAAGATATCGTATACAATTTGCTTCTTACATTCATAACCAATATCGCAATTTGAATATTGTCCCCATGTTGATTCTGAAGCGGTTGTGCAATATTGTATATTCGAGTTCGACGGCATATTGGTTGAATATTGTTTCAACAATATTCGAAATATCATATTCACCTATCTTGATTAATATCATTCTATCCATATCATGCGGAAGATATCGTATACATATTGTTTCCAACAATCATAACCAATATAGCAATTTGAACATTCTCCACATATCGATTCTGAAGGGGTTTTCAATGATTCAAATATGAATATCAATAACGGCAATTCAATATGTATCTCATATCGGACATAGGAGAGAAAAACAATATTGTATTTTCAAGTTCAATTGCATATCGGGTGAATAGTTTTCTAGCCATATTCAGAAAATAATATCATCTCATATTGGCTGATATGTGATTCACTATATCATGTAAGCAATATTGTTTACATATTGTTTTGAGAATACATATCGATATCGGAATTTCGATATTTATTCCATATTACGCACTCCTAAACCGATGTCGATAGATGGCGCTATAAATGATTGGTAACGTACTCTCATTGCCGATCCGACGAGAGAATTTAAATATTGGCTCTAGACGATTGTGAAGTATTATAACCTGGAGTAGGGGTTAACCGTGATCAACAAGGCGGCTTCCCTAGGGCAAGGCCCTCCCATTGCACTCCGGCTGGGCTGACCTTTGTGATTATTCCTGATGCGAATAACTCGCAAATATTGGTATGAAAATATTCCACCAATATTTTGAAGACAACATAGCTACATAATGATTTTCAATAATGTACCAATATTCCCAACCAATATTGCACCAATATAACTTCACGAATATACCAGCAATATTGGTATGAGAATATTCAACCAATATTTCTGGGACAACATACCTTCATGATGATTTCCAATGATTCACCGATATTTCCATATATTACACCAATATTGCCGAATGTTCACCATCAATTTCTCGCCAATATTGATATTACATTTTGTGTCCGATATTACTCTACGAATATTCAACCAATATTAATATGAGAATATTCTACCCACATTTGGAAACTGATATTGTACCAATATCGCCGAATGTTCACATTTTTTTTCTCGCCAATATTACTTTCACAATATTTTGCCGATATTTTCGTAATATTGCACCGATATTGTCCCAATATATGTGTGCTACTTGGGATGTGGCTTCTGGAACCACTAGGCAGAGCCTCTTTGCCTGTTGCCGTTGGTCCGGAGGTGTTGACCCGGTGGACCTCACCCTTTTTGTTTGGTCCACCTTCCGTTCGCTGCCCTCAGAGCCTCGCTGTCACGCAGCTCCCTTGGGGACCTGTGAGCCTGCGTTGCCCTTGGCCGATCGTTTTCCAGCGTAGGCTGGTTTCTTCGGGTTCCTAGGCACCTGACTTTTCTCAGTCTGAGCCTTGGAACTCGTTTGTGGCTGCCTATTACCTTCCGGTTCAGGCTGTGTGTTTGGATTGCTCGCCGTGGCTTCCGTTCTTCTGCGAGCCGCCCTTTGCTTGGCAGCCCCGCTGCGGTTTGCCCGTTTCACCTTCATCTCTCCAAGGCGAGTTCCTACCTGGGCAACATTGTCGCTCAGTAGGCGCTCCTCCTCGGACAGGGTGGGGTTCTCCGACGAGATATCTCCTTCCAGAGCCCTCTCAGCCTTGGATCCAGGAGCCATTTTTGTGGCCCCCCTCGATCCGAAGTTTGAGGGCCCCGGGGAAGACATCTCGTCGGGTACCGGTACTCGACTGGTCCCTGGTGCAGAGCCCACCTGAGTATCGGCCTTGGCATCCCGGAGGTTGCTTGTGTTCCCCGGCCCGCGGTTCGAGCCTGGGATTGTGACGTGGTAGGGATGTGGAGCTTCGGGCCCCCTCAAAGAGCCCAAAGTGGGTATGGAGGATAAAGGGATTTCCGAAGGCCCTGAGGCAGAGCCTTCAGCAGGAGGAGTTGGGTTTGGGGAGGCGGGCCCCAAGTTGGAGCCCGCACTTGGTTTGGGTTTTTTTTGGGGTTTTTTGGTTTTTGTTTTTGGGTTGTCCATAAGGTTCCCACGAGTATGGGGGATATGTGGGTCGACGGCTGTTTACCCCCTGTGCAGCCGCAAGACTTCTTACTCCGGGAGGTCGTCAGGTTTCCCGGAGGCTCCGTTATTGATAACCTAGTTTGACCCGGGTATCATCCATCCCTCGGCACGGGTCGCATAACACCTTGGATTAGGTCCTCGTTGGGGTGCCAATTAGTTAGTAAATGGGTTGCTGATAGCATCCCATTTGACTTATCCAGCAGTGCCACTCGGAGGCGGACACCCTTGGTTGTGTTCTTCCTTCCCAGGTATCATCTTCCGAGCCCTAAAACCTTAGCTTCGAGGCACCAGAGTCCGATATCCCGGAGAGGCCGACGCACCACCACACCCGCCTTGTAAGACAGTAGCCGCTTATCGAATGAATTAAACCAAGATCTTGGGATAGAATAATCTTCGATACACATTCTCAATACTGTCGATACGTTCGAAGTCAATATGACTAGTATCAATGTATAACTGATGGAAGGATTGAATTTGTTGTTATTACTATGTCTTGGAAATGGGGGGTGCGTTACAGAACTCCCATAGCAAGTTGGGTGTGGGGTGCTGTCACAGAACTCTCATAGCAGACTGTGTTACAGAACTCTCATAGCAGGTTGGGGGGTAGATGGTGCTGTTACAGAACTGTCATAGCAGGCAAGTAGGGTAGTTATGTATGTACGAGGTCCTCCTCCTCTTCTCTCTTCCTCCTCCCTCCTCACTCCTCAGCGCTCCTCTGTATCGACGTAAGGTAGCGGTCTTCGAAGGGCTGTGAAATTATCTTCTGGTGTTCGCATCGAACCCGACCGTGGGTGACCTTGAGCGTGTGACGACATGGTCTTCGAAGGGCTCTGAAGAAACCTTGTGCTGGAGTGGAGTGAAGCGGATATCGTTTTGAAATTCGGAGGCTGTTGCCGTTCAAGGACGTTGTTAGACGTTCAATTCGGTTATACTTGCAAATATTAATGGCATTCACCGAATACCGCTTTTTTTGTTTCTCTATTTTGAGTACATACCTACGTAGGACGATGCATACAATATTAACTTTCTTATCAATACGCTTGGATTTGCTGTCTACTTTCTTACTGTTTCCGCTGTAGGAAAGCTACTTTCAACAGTTTTTTGGTCATTCTTTCGTATATTAAATCAACTCTATGGTTGGAATCACATTAACGGCTTACAATAGCAGGCTCAACAAGCTGATGTATGAATATAAAATCAATATATTGTCGCCTTGGATCATGTGGCATTGGTTGCGGCCTTGAAAGTCTGTGTGTGTGAACATACTTGTTCGAGGTCGCTGTCATAGAATTTTTTCTTTCCTTTGATATTTCCCCCACCATATTTCTATACTATATAACCAGATGAATCCTAGATTTGAGAACACAAAATGAAAGCGAGTCATCTGGGGAATATATAAGTATTAAAATGATTTTCAAGTTGAGTTGAAATATTTTTATATATTTATCATACATCCCTTTCACTGTGGAATTCACGATTATTTGAAGAAATAATATGTCTGTAGTACGTGCAATTGATTTAGATTCCATCAATCAGATGATCTATCGCGATGCTGATATTATCCAACAAAATATATCGATTTCAACTCTGATCGTAGGCCATCCCTACGTAATTGAAAGAATATGTTGTTGCGTAACTAGATTCGGAAAAGGGGTTTATACATTATTATGTGATGAACGTGACAACGCTACTTTCAAATGTTGGCTTCCAAAACGTGTCTCAGATAATTTGAGCGATGGTGATATTGAAGTTATGAATTCAGCCAATGGGGGATATAGTCTGACATACACAGGCCAGAGTAAACCAGGATATGTAGGGGCGAAATCGAGGTCTCTCATTAGATTCGATAGTCGATAATAATTTCCTTATTGCTTTAGACGACTTTGACTTTCTGCTTGTTCACCTTAGATATATTAAATAAGTATAATTATACGGAAGGGTGGATGAAAAATATTTAGAAATAGTTACTTACATATCACATACTAGTGATCTCTTTCTATGGAATGATCATTACTATTGTGAGTAGATAGTCAACCCGTCAGATAAGATGTGTATGTTAATGTCGTATATTTGTTTCAAATTTCAGCCTTCCAAGCCTCCTTCGAACAAAATGTGGAGGCACTCTTCAAGCCATGGATGAGATAAAGCAGAAGATATCGATTCTGGAATAAGGAGGTCAGCATGTGAATTCAGAGATCTAGAAATGGATGCTTCACATGCAACTAATTATGATATGAACGTGTGTTTTGATCCCGTGGATATTCGAAGACTCTCCGATCTAGCTGATCAATATAAAATTGGCTTAGAATTGTGTCGTCGGTTTGGATATGGAAGTTCGAGCTTAGATGCGTTTAGTCAAGATATGGTGGAATGGAAGCTGAATTGAAAGGGTTCTTGTATGAAATATTCGATTTCTCTCCTGGCAGCATCATTAGCCGAATATAACCTACATCGAGAATCTGAGGAAGAAGATGATGCTGATGATGGCGAGGGTGACAAAAGTGTAGACGAAGTCGGGGATATCAAAACTTAGTAATTAAATATGTCTCTCTTAATGTAATTATATACGGCCTATACTGTATCGCTATTTAATAATAATGATATATAATAATGATAATAATAATAATAATAATAATAATAATAATAATAATAATAATAATAATAATTTACAGGCCAATTACCTGCCTGAATGCATGTTACAAGTTGTTCACACGCATCTTGTACATGCGAGTACTCCTAGTAGTTGACCCGGTTTACCAGCGGATTTTTGAGCAGCGTGGGTCGAAGAGAGGTGTCGCTGGCTGCAAGGAGAACCTGTTGATAGATAGAGCTATCACACAGGACTCCGTGCAGTACAAGCGGAATCTTTCTGTGGCCTGGATCGATTACCGAAAGGCATTTGACACAACGTCACATGAGTTACTCGTGTACTTGCTCAAGTGTCTTTCGGTACCCGATTCTATAGTGAGATGCATAGAACAACTGATGCTAGTCTGGAAGACCCGCTTTACCATAACATCAGGTGAAGCGAGAGTCCAAACAGAGCCAGTCATCATAAGGAGAGGAGTATTTCAAGGGGACTCCCTCAGCCCTCTCCTATTCTGCATCTCACTTCTGCCACTATCCGTTGAGCTCAGGAAAACCAGGGGATACAACTGCGGCCCACCCAGTTACCGGAGGCATAAGGTCACCCACTTATTCTATGTGGATGACCTCAAATTTTATGCCTCTGGTGAGAGGGATATGGACCAATCCCTCAGGGTGGTGCAGGAGTACACGCAGGCAATTGGAATGGAATTCGGGATGGACAAATGTGCACTGGTTCATCTCAAGAGAGGACGATGCGAGAACTACGACAAGGACGCGCAGCTTGTGGACGGAAGCATCCTACGCCACCTGGATGCCGGAGAGACGTACACCTACCTGGGTGTAGAGGAAACTCACATCCAGGAGGCACAACGGGTAAAAGACGCTCTCCGCAGCAAGTATCGGCAGCGGCTCCGACAGATCTGGTCGTCAGAACTGTCGGGGAAGAACAAAGTCGCTGCGACTAACATGCTTGCTGTTCCGATCCTACTTTACTCATTTGGAGTGATAAAGTGGACTCAAGTCGAGCTGCGACAACTTAACGTAAGTACTCGCAAGATGATGCATCTCCATAGGAGTCTGCATCCAAATTCGTCCGTTCCACGGTTATACATACCTAGAGACCAGGGTGGCCGTGGACTCTTGAGCTTGGAGTATCTCCATAACAGAATGGTTCTGGATGGCGCCTGCAAAGTCATCAGGAGTTCGGACCCCCTTCTGCAAATGGTTAAAACCCATGAAGATGCAGGAGTAGGAGCTTTTCTTTTTAGGGCAGCACGTCGAGCAGCCGATGAATTGTCTCTGATTTTCGACTCCGAGCGCGAGGCTCAGGACTCAGTTACTGAGCTAGAACCCGCTCGGAGAAAAGCCCGCATCAAAGCTGCAGAAGTGAAAAAGCTCCTGCAGCTTCACATGGATAAGCCCATGCATTCGGTCTACTTCAAGACCATTGAAGACCGGGGCTTATCCAAAGAACTGACTTCCGCTTTTCTCAAGTCAGGCGGGCTTAAATCGGAAACAGAGGGGTTCATCATGGCATGCCAGGATGGGGTTTTCAACACTCTCGTCTACCGTAGCCGTGTCATGGGTATGGAGGTCCCTGACACAAATTGCAGGGCCTGCCGTAGGGCACCCGAGACAATTATGCACCTGCTGTCTTCTTGCACGGTGTATGCAGTCTCGGCCTATATCCATAGACACAATGCGGCATTGCGAGTGCTCTATTATCACCTGAGGCACTCGTACGGAATAGACGAGACCCCAGTGCTGCCCTATGCTCCGGGGGATATTGAGTCCGTTGTGGAGAATGAGAGGTGCCGAATTTATTGGAACTTCTCATTCCCCACCCTTAGGCAAATACAAGCTAACAAGCCTGATGTAGTCCTCCTCGACCATCAAACCAAAGCGATGTTCGTGATCGAGTTTTCGGCGCCAGCCGAACCGAACATCGTTTTGAAGGAGGAGGAGAAACGGACTAAATATCGAGATCTTCTCTTCGAACTCCGCCGGCTCTATCCAGACCATTCTGTGGAATTGGTCATCCTGATTATCGGCTCCCTAGGAGGCACACGACACACGCTACTCTCGGAGATCCAGAAAATCCCAGCGTGCCGTGATAAGGCACACATCCTGGCTGGTGGTATGCAGAAGGCCGTCATACTTGGATCATTGCGTCTACTCAGGGCACACGGTACTTGGTCCCAGTGATTACTCACCTCACAGGCTGTGAGGAGTAGTCACTGGATTTTATCCAGCACGACTCTGCGTGACGTCGGAGGCCGCAGGGTCGTGACTGGAATTATATGAATTTAAAATAATAATAATAATAATAATAATAATAATAATAATAATAATAATAATAATAATAATAATAATAATAATAATAATAATAATAATAATATCATTTATTCAAATCGAATCTCTATTTAGTACATAACATAGTAATGATAAAGAAATTATTTATGAATAAATGAACATACTCGATAAATGAATGAACATTTGTTTCGAGATGAAGACGAAAAAAAAAAAAAAGATGAGGACCTTAAATAATACATGCCTTATATATAATACATTTCCGATTGAATAATTATGAAATGTAAAGTACTATATTATAAAGTGTAATGAAAAATATTATAGGAATGAAGTGAAGTGGAGAAGAAGGTTTTACAAAATAATGATTCTTTCAACTAAATTCGTGTAACAAACATACTTCTTGAATTTTTCAAAATGAATTCCTTAAGTTCTCTTTTGAAAAGTGGAACCCCGGTAATGTTTTTGATTTTATCTGGAATTGAATTATATAGCTTTGGAGCAATGTATGAATATGTTCGTTGGCATAGCGTTTTCGACATTCGAGGAACTGAATGATGATGTCTTTGTCGGGTATTATAGTAGTGAGATGGTAATTGTGTTATATTTTTGTTCTGGTGATATTTTAGGTTAGACGCGAAATAATGTAGTTGTCGGATATCGAATATTTTAGCTTCGATATATAGCTGATCTGTGGAATATGTTGAGTCCTTAGAAAATATTATTTTGAGAAGCCGACGTTGTACTACTTCAAGAGGGTTCAGATGAGTGTCTGCTGCACCACCCCATACTAATATGCCGTAACGCAGATGACTTTCAATCAAGGCAAAGTACAACAGTTTGAGCTGAGAAATAGGTGAGATTGTTTTCAGATACTTGAACTTGTATAGTAGAGATTGTAGTTTTTTTCTAACATACGTTATATGTGAATCCCATCTGAGATGGTTATCGACATATATTCCTAAGTATTTTATCTTTGTTTCAGGTTTTATGAGTGTAGATTTGCCATTTATATTCACCTGTAAGTAATCAAATGTGGGGGTCTTGGTCTTGTTGCAACTGAATGCTAGGAATGTTGTTTTATCTAAGTTTAATGTTAGCGACCTGTGGTCTAACCAATTTTTTATCATTTCAAAGTCTGTTTCTGCCTTTATTTTCAGGTCATCCCAGTTATCAGCTTTATACAAGATGGCAGTATCATCAGCAAAACCAATAATTTCGCCTTTGCTTTGTTGGGAGAACAATCCATTCATATAAATGTTGAATAGGATAGGTCCTAATACCGTGCCCTGGGGAATCCCATACTCTATTGTTTTTGATTCACTCAGTACATCTTCCACTCTAACAACTTGATTTCTATTTGTGAGATAACTTTTGAATAATTTGAGGCAGTTATTTCGGATGCCAATATCTTCCAAGGATTGGATAAGTAGATTATGACTGATTGTATCAAATGCTTTTGATAAATCTATGAATATGCACGAACTGGGATTATTTTCATTCAGTGCAGTGTTGATGCCCTTGGTTAGATTTAAAACGGCGTCCTGAGTAGACGTTTTCTCTCTGAAGCCGAATTGTTTTTTGGATAAAATACTCTACTTGTTTGTGTATGAGGTTAATCTCTTTTTGATGATTTTTTCAAATATTTTAGATAGGTGAGTTATCAATGAAATTGGTCGATAATTCGTTGTTATTGTTTTATCTCCCTTGTTGTATAGCGGTATAATAACAGAGTTTTTAAAGGTAGATGGCCATAGACCTATGTTCATACATTCATTAAAAATATGTGTCAGTGGTTCTATGATGTGGTCAGATAATAATTGAAGTATTTCTGATTTTATTCCATCTAAACCAACTGATTTATGTTTTTTGAGCTCGTTTATCGTGGATTTCAACTCTTGCGGATCTGTGGGGAGCAAAACGAAGGAATTTTGTTGTGTATACCTTTTAATAGAGATGTTATGATTTTTTTTAATTTTCTCAGCTAGGGTTTTTCCAACGCTGGCGAATTGTGTGTTGAATTCGTTTGCAATATCATTTTCGTACGTTAGTACTTCTCCAGATTTGTTTTTCACTGAGATTATTTTTTGTCGTTTCTTCGATGATTTGCTTATCTCTTTAACTATATTCCATAATTGTTTTGAATTATTTGAGTTTGATTCTACTAGTTTATTATAGTAATTATACTTTGTTTTAGCCAGAAGTGATGTGAGTCTGTTTTTATAATTTTTGTAATCTGATTTCAGTTCCTGATTATTTGGGTTTTTGAGTAAGTTCCTGAACATTTTGTTTTTTGTGTCAATCGATTTTACCAAGCCGTTTGTTATCCACGGTGTTATTTTACTGTATTTTCTTCGTCTTCGTTTCATTTCAGAGCATTTATCGATAGCAGTGGAGAGTATACTCACCAGAATATTCATTGCAGTGTCTGGATTGGATGTAGAGTAGACTGATTCCCAAGATGTGTCTCTAATGGTGTCGTGCAGTTTTTTGTAATTGATATGTTTGAAAAAGCGTGTATCATTTGTAGTATGCCTAGGTTTATTCAGTACTATTTGTAACATTATTGTATGATGATCTGTTATGTTTGTTTTAACTATTAGAGGTAATATATTTTCGATAGAGTCATCTTTCGTTTTAATAAATATGTGATCGATGCACGACGGTTTTTGTTTGGGCTGAACTCTAGTGACTGAATTTATAGTTGATATATAACCATGTTCATTCATCACATTCAAATATTCGACGGTGTGTTCTTTTTCCTCTAGTAGATCTATATTGATGTCTCCAACAAAGATATGATAGCTCTCTCTATTTGTTTCATGGATTTCAAAGAAATTGTCTAAATTTCTGACGAATTCATTAATATCTGAAGATGGTGGCCTATATACAGCTGTGACAATGATTTTGCTTCTTTGGTCTAATCTGATTTCTAATCTAAGAAAATTGGTTGTATCGATTTTGTGTATTGAATATGTGAGATCCAAGTTTGATTTAACGAGAACTACAACTCCATCATTCTGATTATATTTTCCTTCATTATAAATCATTTTGAATCCGTTGATATTATAAAGTTCAGGGTCTTGAAGAGTCCATGTTTCAGTTAGAACAATACAGGCGAACTCAGCACTTAATTCCTCCAAAACTACTTTTAATTCATCAAGATTTTTATTTAAACTCCGAATATTATTTTGTAAGACCTTGAAGTTATTTTTGGAATTAATTTCTAAGATTTCTTCGCACTCTTGTGTATTTTCCAAAGTGAAGCTTTCAATTGTCTTTAGATCGAAATCTCTTATGTATTGATCCATGAGGATGATAATAGTGATGAGATAATAATAATTGAAGATGATATTAATAAAAAAGATAAAAAAGATAACAATAATTGTGGACAGATATTAAAGATCGCGAAGTATATCGGAGTAATTGTATTCACTAATTTTTCTTTGTCAATGAAGGTTGTCTGGTAAGAATGCGTTGGCTATTTTCACTGGACACTGAGGCTGTTCTCTCTGGCTTCTTCTTTTCTCTATCTTTCTTGTGCCAATTCTGTATCGAACCTGAGCAAGTTGTTTGTTCATCACTAATTTTTGATCTCACCTCGCTAATTTGGGAAACGTTCTCATTCAGATTGATAGTTGAACACTCTCCATTTTGTTCGAGTACTACTTCTGATTTGGTATTTTCTTTTGGAGTTTTCAATTCGAAGTGTCTGATGCTGTCCTCAAAAAATGTGAGTTGTGATATGGTCGTAGGTGTTGCTGGTTCACTATCTGCCTTTGTTATTTCTTTTTGAGATGTACTTTTGTTTAGGTCTTCTGGATTCTCAGTGTAATTCATGCTCTGTAATTGTTCGATTGTGTACTTCTCGTTGTTTATTTGCAGTGTCTTCCCTCTTATCTTCGCGAATACATCTCTTCTCCTTGGTGTTCCTGCAGGATTTTGAGATCTTGCCTATCTTCGTAGCATAAATCTTGTGCGATGAAGATCTTGCTGCCTCTTAGTTTGTATGTATTTCTCAGGATGCTTTGTTTTTTCAGATATGATATAAATTCGATTTTTATAGCTTCTGTTCGTCCGGTATTTATCACATAAATATTGTTAATATCACATTCCTGGATGTGTACTCCCAAAATATTTTTTATGTGATTCAATGTGAAGTGGATCAATTCCTCTTCTTTTGGGACTGATGGGTCGAAGATCAGGATATTGTTTTTACGTATATTTCTTTCGAAATTTATACACCTCGATTCAAGTGCTTTGCATTTATGTTCTAGATCATTTACTCTGCTCGATTGTCTTTCTAGACTATCAATAATTTTGCTGTTTTCTGATTTTATTTCCTGTCGTATTTCGTCGTTCCCTCTCCTGATAGATTCTTGTAGAATACGCAGTAATTCGCTATTTGTTAAGTCTTTTTGGTAACTATTCATTGTTTTGTTTCCTTTCCTCGATGTAGGCTGTATCACCCCGTATTCCTACTGAAATCGTTCACTGGAGGCTACTTATGTTTTGATTCTACGTTCACGTTCTTGCTGGTCATGGAACGACTATAAAAACGAAAGGCGAATCTTATCGATTTCTAGCTTGATATGCACTGAACTGTTAGTTTATTTCAATTTCTTATTAACAGAAATTTGGTAATTCACTAAAACATATTTCACTTTCATAGGAACTACTTTTTTATATTTGAATAAAATTCATCATTTTGAATATTATCATTAATTATTAATATACGTATCCGAATCCGATACGTCCGACACGTCCGACTCGTCCGACGACCAAATAATTATTAGGTATTCAATATTCTCAATAAATGTTCGATATAATCATATGCTATTTCATTATTCTAAGTAAGTAGTTCGAAACGGAATGGTGGAGGAAGAGGTTGATGGAACGATGTATAAAAATAAATATTGATTTGCTGATAGAGGTGTAGATAAAGTAATAGATGCAAATATTCAGCGAATTGTATATCTTCTGATGCAATCAGTAACCTTCACACTAATAATATTGAGTAGATGATATTCATGCATGAATGATTTTTTGATTGCTATAAGTAGGTACGTAATTATCATTACAGAGCATGTAAAGAGGTATGATATATTTCGAGGAGTTCTTGTTTGAATAGACACATACAAAGTTAGTGCTCTTCATAGGTCAGATATGAATCATGAAGAACTAATGCATAGATAGCTGGTATTGTTACGAAAATATAACCCTACTTGAGTCGTTATCAAGTGACGATGACTAACACCTGTGAAGGGTTGTTACTCGAATTTTGCATCACCTATTTACTTGAAGGAATCGTTACAGAAACCATAAGGATTTGCGACCAAGAAGTGGTTTCTGAATCGAACTATCTGTTGACAATTTTTCCAGATCAATTTGAATATTATAACCGATTGGACCTCGCCGACATCAACAGAAGCATTGAAGGTCGGAATTAGATGCTTCATCCATTGAATACCGCCACGAACTAACTTGAAACCACCCTGGAACCAGTCGGAACAACCCTGGAACCAGAACCAGTCGGAACCACCCTGGAACCAGTCGGAACCAGTCGGAACCACCCTGGAACCAGTCGGAACCACCTTGGCACCAGTCGAAACCACCCTGGAACCAGTCGGAACCACCCTGTAACCAGTCGGAACCATCCTGGAACCGGTCGGAACCACACTGGAACCAGTTGGTATCACCCTGGTACCAGTCGAAACCACCATGAAACCTGTCGGAACCACCCTGGAACCAGTCGGTACCACCCTGGAACCAGTCGGAACCCCCCTGGAACCAGTCGGAACCACCCTGGAACCAGTCGGAACCACCCTGGAACCAGGTGGAGACATCTGAAATCATAAGAAACAAAGAATAGGAAGTGCTTTCTGGAAAACAGTCATCAACAAACACGAATCTCGATCCCACAACTAGGTACACGTCGGGAAAATTCGATTTCAATAGTCGCAACTCATAAAGTCACCCTTTGAATGGATCACCTTCGAAGCCTTCGAGCAAATATGTAATCAGACCGAACATATTTCTACTTCGACTATTTTGAAGAGCTCCGTTGAAAACAAATTTGCTCTGTATCCAGGTAGAAAAACACAATATAATGTTGACGACAACTATTTCGAGGATCGAATCTAAGGGTTTTATTTAAATATATAAGTTTCTTGATAGGTTCATCATAATTTCAGCTTTTACACTCTAATGATCTGGTACCTGCTCTAGGAATCTAATGAAATGAGATAAATGAGGTAAAGACGGTTTTTACTATCTATCAACTAAAATACAAGATGACCTCTATGGAATCTACGGGTTAATATAATTCCATCTTGTTTTCTGGAACCTGCAATTATTCCTTCTTTTCGTGGAATGTCTGAGATTGAAAGAATCTCGGTATTGTAGTATCATGTGGGTGAGTACCATATTTGCCGCAATCTTTGCATAAACTTCCTGGGGTTCACCATATCACTATGAACAACTATTGAATCATTGTCGTTATAACAGTTGTTACCGACATCACTTGAATCACTGAAAGCACTGTCAACATAGTTATCGCCACCATAAGCGCTGTTGTTGCCTTCGGATCTTGATGAATACTGAGTGGTTCTATCGGGGCTTGAAGAGTAGTTGTTAGTTTGCATATTAGACAAATTTTCAACATCGAATCTTGACTGAACTTCCGATTCATTGTTTTTGAAAGAAGACAAATTACAGGCAGTAAAAGCTGACGTATCTTAAGTAGTCAGAGATGCTTTGATTTTATTTGATAAGCAACAAACTGCCTTTATATTCTTCAATGACTTCGATGATGTCATCTGGAACAATGATCTAAGCGAGTATAATGATGAATCAAATATACTTTATCGATATATATCTATTATGTAATAGAAAAATATAAAAAATATAGTATCTTAATTTTCATAGGATTTGTGTATCTGTGTGTAATGGAAATAATATTGATTCAAATAATGTATTTATTGAAACTATTCGAGAATACATTACAATATTATTGGGTTCAAACGATTGCAGATTCATCAATCCATGAATTATGTATGTTCGAGAATCCCAGCCATTCCACATAAACTTTGCAACCTTTCTCCTTTAAAATTTTCTCAACCAAGTAAACATCTGAATTTCTCGTTTTCAACAATTCCACCTCATAAAAACATCATTTGATTGGTATTCCTCCAATAATATCTCCGATTAAGTATGTTATAGGGTTGGTTGTGTTTATTTTGGAAATTTTGAATAGCTCTGATGAAAAGTTCACAAGAAATCCCTTCTCGAGAACACCTTTGTATTTACTGATTCTCACAATGTCACCAATTTTGAATTTCGGCTTCAATGCCAGTCTCGGATGATTGAATGCACTCAGTTTTGTTGTTGGGGTGACGTCGATGGGCTTCATTCCAGTTGTTCGATGTCTTCGGTTATCATATGCAGTAGTAAGTTCGTGTAAAACATCGAGCCATACATATTCTCCTCTTGCTGAAAACTCTTTATATAACCAATTCTTTAGAGTTCTTATGACACGCTCGACGATTGCAGCTTTCATAGTACTATACGTTGAATAATGATTGATTTTATATTCATCCATAATCTTGTTGAACCAGCGATTATTAAATTCTCTTCCAAGATCACTCTGAACATAATTCGGTGAATATTCCGCTCTTTCGAGTACTTCTCCCATAGCTTCAGTAACTTCAACACCTGTTTTATTCTTGATAGCCTCAGTCCAGACATATTTGGAATAGCAATCGATAAAAAATAGAATATATTTGAAACCTTTATTTTCCTCCGCATACGGTTGCATTTCAGCTAAATCGATCTGCCACGAATCCGCGAATCCTTTGATTATCGTTTCTCTCCTAAGAAGATTGCGACGAGCTGGTTTGTGTAATTCCTCAACAACTTGTCGTTTCACATCACTTATTCCAGCCATTCTGAAGCAATTTTTCGATAATTTAGCGACTGCTACGGGCTACAGCTGGATACTAAGACGAATCGTTATCATTGATACATATTTATCTGATTTAGTACACAATGCCTTCTTCACGTAACTCCTCTATAATCGATATTAATTCATTATCATGTCCAGTATGGCCTATGAATTTCGAACTCCAAAGCAAACGTAAGCGGGCTATCAATTATTTCGGTTTATTTCAATAGACATACTCCTTCTTGGTGTCATTGAAGATTTTTTGTGATGTTGATCCACTATCGTCCTTATGTTCAGGTACTACTCTCATTTTATATGGTGTACGAGTTAGAGGTTTGATAAACTCAAGATATTTTCTAGATTTGCTGGAATTCAGACATAGTCTGATGTCGTATCCTTTGTATGGGACTCTAGTCTGCTGCAATAACGTTGTGTGTATATTTCTATCATCTTCACTCAAAGTTTGAGGTGTGTATTTGTGGAATAGCACTTTATATAAATTCGAACTAGCGGGATAAATTTTCGGTTTCTTCTTTCCATCATTGCCACCCAACTCAATATTTCCATTTGAGAAACGAACTTCGGCATTACCCATTCTCAACCGTCGCGATTTCGGATCTATATGTATACCGTATACTGTGTCATAGTTACTAGTATCCCCAGATTCCAATTTCCGTACGTGTCCTTCAGCGATGTCCTGTTACTTTCTAATTACAGATTCATTACTCCCATTCAGCTGGGTAATTATATGTGAACCATCTGATGATGACGTAGGCGGGATCTCCATCAAAGTATCGAACTGGAAATCATCATTTGAGTCATCAGATGATGGTTGACTATCAGCGGGTGATTCTTCTCTAGTTTTCTTGGCTGTTTGCTGAGGCGTCTTATAAATTGTCGATGAAATTGGGGTGAATTGATGTATATGTTGCAATTTCGTCATATTTTTGTTTGTATTGTATCCCGAATTTTTCTCCAGAATAGCCTTTGTCACTGCAGAAATGTCTGTTAGGAATATTATCTCATTATTTCAACTGCTCTTAAAAAAGTGGACTGTAAAGGACTTACCGAAATATGTTGCGGCTTTCTCTGACGTCACTGTCACTATTTGAAAGGGAAATCAGGATAGGGCTAGAGAGTATGGATCAGTAAAGGAAAATAGTGAAATATTAAATATTATATGTTGTCGGCCGGTCGCGAAAATGCTAGATATTGTTTGGTATTGTTTTTCTCTCGTCGCGTGCGATACAACTGAACTCTTCCTTTTGGATGTCATTCCACTACCCATGGAAATACGTATATGCAAAAAAGAATCAGTACAAAAAGTCAAGAGACCCTTTTTTGTTAGACCAAATATATTCTTTCACGAGGTGAATTTACTATGAAGTATTTGACACGATTCTTCAACTGATATACAGGCAACCAAACATACAATTTTATATCGGCCAAAACATCCTGCCCCGGGGGTTGAATTTTTAAAAATTAAACAGAAAATATAAGCCAAAACGGATTCGAATGCTCAACGTGGAATACCCAATATAACTGATTCTATGCAATGATTCATAAAATTATAATAAGAAGAAAGAAAAAAAAATGAGGTGATAACAGAGTAACACCTTAAAACAAATACCCAAACTTAAACTACCTAACCTAATGTGCTGAAGTGAGGACTTCAGAACCCACTATTCATTGATTGGGAAGTGGGCATAATTTTGCCACTGGCCTTGTGTAGGTACTGTTTTTTGTCCTCACTACGGCTACACGGGCAATGCCATCTTTGCCAGGATACAATATTTCTATAATAGCAAGAGGCCAATGCAGAGGAGGAATATTCTCATACAAAATCAACACAACCATGCCTTCTCTAGCTGGATTATTGACTGTATTCCATTTCTGTCTAGACTGCAGTGTAGTCAGATATTCTACATGCCAACGTTTCCAGTAATGATTCACTAATAAATCTAATAATTTATATCGGCTCGCATGATTGATTGTTTCATGAGACAAATCTTCTACAGGTAGGGAACCCAGGGGGGCGCTATGTAAAAAATGAGCTGGGGTACACTTTTTATATTTGATTCCCATAATCCACCGAAATGACTTGCTGAGGGTGGATTAAACTTCCAAGTTATTTTGTGAATGTTTAATTCGCATTGAAAGGCGTTTCTGTACTGTTGTGAATTTACCAGCTTGAATATTTCGTCCAGATATCATTTCGCACCAACAAAATTGGTTCCATTATCGGAAAAAACCGTTGTACAACATCCACGTCGAGATATAAATCGTTTAAAGGCAGCGAGAAAATTTTCAGTATATAGAGAAGAGGCTAGTTCCAAATGAATGGCTTTAGTGGTAAGACATATAAATAAACAAACATGAGCCTTTTGGCTTTTTACACCCCGGTATCGACCCATTGTAATAGAAAAGCTCCCTGTGAAATCGACACCTGTTGTGATGAATGGATTGGCCTGATTTACTCTTTCCAACGGTAAATCAGCCATCATTGGAAAATTTGGTTTAGGTTTCAACTTGAAGCAATGATTGCATTTCCAAACTCTTTGTCGAATTATATCTCGAGCAGATAATATCCAATATCGCTGTCTCAATAATGTTTGCAATAAATATGAGCCTGTATGACAATTCAATTTATGAAAATAGTCGATGAGCAAACATACGAATCTATCCGATTTGGGCAATAAAATAGGATGCTTATGCTCAAATTCCATAGGCGCATTAGATAACCTACCATCAACTCTGATCAAACCGTCTTTGATAAACGGGTTGAGACGGCGAATTGGGGACTTCAAAATTTCATTTTCTGTTAAACGTTTATAGTCATTTGCAAAGTGCCTTTGTTGGACTGCACGAATTATCATTATTTCTGCTCTTTCTAAATCTGAATTA